TCTATGATCAACATAATATGTTGGGATCTTATGCTCAATGGTATCAGGGAGTCTTGACAGACATCTACTCCCCAGATAGAGCTTTGTGTGTGTGTGTGTGTGTGTGTGTGTGTGTGTGAGTGATGCACTCTTAGTTTGAAAATATTTGGCAATCAGAGGCTGACATTGAAATGTCTTCCTCAATTGTTTCTCCACTATGATGATGATGATGATGATTTGAGGCAGTGTCTCTCACTAAATCTGGGACTTTCTGGTTAGACAAGGCTAGCTGGCCAGTGAGCCCCAGGATCCACTTGTCTCTGATCCCCAGTATCAGAGTTACATTACCATCAAACCTGGGTTTTTATGTGGGTGCTAGTGATCCACACTCATGCTCATGTACCCTGCCCTGACCCATTGACCATCTTTCCAAACCCACTTTATTGTTAGCCTTTTAAAATGTGCTCCAGCACGCATGCCCCTGCGACAATAACAGCTTTTTAAATTATATAAATTTGTTCTAGAATGTTCTGGTCCTATTCCCTTTCTTAGACTGAAAAGCAATGTGCACTGGAATTTATGCTACAACAATGTAATGTTTTGTTTGTTTGTTTGTTTGTTTTGGAGATGGGGTTTCATGTAACCCAAACTGATCTCAAACCTGAGGAGATGACCTTGAACTTCAGGTTCTCTTGCTTATACTTCCCAAGTGCTGGGATTCCAGGGGTGCACTACCGCACCCAGCTCCAATCTAGCCTTTTAAGGTTGTTGCATATCTTAGTTCTGAACCATTATATAAAGTCATCTTCCCCCTCAACCTCCAGAAGAGAGTTTTAGTTCCCATAAACCAAAGTTCTGGGGAAGTGGTTAGGAGAGCCCCAGAGTAGCCTCCGACTGTCACTAGCAGTATGGACGCCCTTCTCTTCCTCTCTCTGCAAATGGAGGTGCTGTCACTCTTCCAGACAAGCCCTCTCCACCAGGAATAGTTAGAGCGTGCACATGCGCACTAGCATTTTCTAGTGGTTACATTAGCAAAATGAAAATGAAGCCAGAGAGAGGATCCTACTTTTTAATCCAAGATGGCGTGATCTCAGGGTGGGATCAGTCTGCCTGAAATCGTCCAGACAGCTCTTGCACAGACATGAAATCCACTCTACACGCTGTGCTTCTCACTCCAAGTACTGTGCCCACGCGTTTCTGGACAGAGTGCTTGTACAGTTTCTCTCTGAATCTCTACCTTCTTTTCTCTAGTCTGAAAAGAGGAAATATCGATGGGTTCTGTTCTAAGAGGACCCACCTAAATTTGGGGATTCTGCACATCTTTCTTAGATACAGG